GAATTACATGATCATCAGGCAAATTAAAAAAGCGACTATGTTGTGAAGCAGCGAACCTCTCACACAGTTTCTGTTACTACGTTTTACCGTTCACTTTTGTTAATAAACTATCGAAAACAGAATAGCAGTTTACACGTTCTTATTTTAAAAATAAGTTTTTACAACCACCTCTTTCAGTCGTGTTAGTCTTAATTAACACTTTTTTGGACAAATTTAACATTTTTGTCTTTGCGTATTTTCAAATTAACATATTTTTTTTTCTCTGGTTCTTTTAATTATTCAATATTTGATTCTAAAAATTAAGAAAACAATGTAACCTTATGTATTTTTCAGTTTAATTTTTACTAGGTTCTGAGGCTACATACAGTTTCATGCGAAAAACAAGCAATAAGATGCAGTATTTTCTATAAAATAAACAATGATTTTAAATTAAGGACGTTCATCTGCCTAATCTATTCTAAAAAATGCGGTTGTGTTAACCTCACCACTGCTCAAAAGAGTAAACATAAAACGTTACAAAAATATTTTAATGTATACATAAGAACAGTGAGTTTCAATTGGTGCGATTAAAAAAAAACTTGAAAACAGGTCAAAAAAATCGAAAAAACGTACGAGAAATTTTCGCTCCTGTAAATAAAAGTGTATACTTTATTTTTAATAACCTATGTTTTTCTTGAGCAGCATTAAAGCTTATGGTCTTGAGGAGGGCTGTGATTTTTTTAGTTTCATAAGTTGTAGAAGCGAATTTGTGAGAAAGTCTTGCATCACAGCAGGTGGTGTGTCTTTGTCTTCAGCATGTATTTAATGTAGAAGATTCAACTCACAACTTTGTTAACGCTTATGTTTATATCTGCAAAAGAACATAGTAGCACTGGCTTTTTATATCATAAACTTTATATTGAATAAGATTAAATTAACTACAGTTATTGTGACGTTAATGTTGTTCTGAAAAGTAATACTTAGGATTAATGAAGAAATTTTCCATTTTTTTCATAAACACTATGTTATCTAGTGCAAGTTAGGCTTTGATATATGACAAGCCAGTGCTGATGATTGCTTTTAAATTTTGACACCGTTCGTGTAACTGTTTAACCCAACTCGGAGAGAAGGTGCCCACCAGTAAAAGATGTCCCACTGAGAAAAATTGTAAACTAAGAATTTGAACACGAGTCACTGTAAAGCGTAAGAGCCATAGCAAGGCGACACGTAATTATGCTCATTTTTTTCAAGATGTGCGAGCCATAACGAATTTTACTGTAAAAGTACTAGATGTTTTTGCGGACTTGTGTCATTGCAATTAATTACCGTCGTATAATTAAAGAAAAATCAACTACCTAAAGCAAGTAAAAACTTTGCAAGGAAGTGGTTAAGGTCAATGAAAATTGGCTTACAACCAGTAGCAATTTAGAGCAGATAGAGTATTGCGCTATAGTGGAAATGAGTAGAAATGAATTATATGCAACAATAATTTTAACTCTCACTTCTAAACGTAAATAAACGTAATATGTGACTGAGTCACTTTTCCGCGATGGTCTTATTTGAGGTACTTATAATCTATATTCAAGTGCATACATATTTAATGTATAGGAGTGACTCTGTTAAGACGGCTGTAAGATATAGGTAAGTTGCATGTATAGAATGAGTATACGAGTCAGAAAGAGAAAGAGGGAGAGAGCGAGAGAGAGAGAAAGGGTAGACAACGCATGGCACGAGATCAAGTCCCCTTGCGCATCAGGCATATGAGAGGGACTCCTGATCTAGTACGCGTACTATTAAGACCTCTGCACAATTAACTTTGAAAGTACTTTTTCATGTATTTTTTTCGTCCTTTGGCGGTAGTCCTGGGAGAGATAGACCAGATATCTGAAATCACCTGTCCCACGAGGAGCCGAGCTACAAGACTGACGTCAACCAAGTCCTAGGGAAGCAGAAGCGAAAGCAGCTACCGGAGTATGACGAGAGTTCACGTATAAGCAGCAGAATATGGTAAACAAATTTGCAGAACAGGGCAATGTGAGAAAGTGAAAGTTATTGTAGGATCAAGGCGTAGTGTGCAGAAGCATCAGATAGTACGATACCTTAGTAGTGTGGGCGAGAGGAAAAGGGAGGAAAAAAAAGAGGAAAAAATGTTTAATTTAAAATTTTCTTTAGAGGGTTATCCCTTACTGGTTGGCACCATCTCTCCAAGGTGGGTTAGCAATCCCATGTTCGTTGTACATTCTAAGAGTGTCTAAACTATACAATGGTTGAAAATAAACGAATTGTTTTTTCTCACATGTATTAATAGACCTAAAATAACCATTTTTACGGGTTCTCTAGGAGAGAGCTACATGATCGACGCGCACAAGTAGAAAGGGACTAGACTATGCACAAACATAACCTTAACTTCCTCATTTTTCGGCTGTACCTTGAAGAGAACAAGTCAAAAAAATTTTTATTCAGTATGGCATGTTTAAAACATTAATACACATGTTGATGAAATCTTCGAAGAAATTTTGTTATAACATAACCTCCCAAAATGAGAAAAACAGTCGTATTTGAAGAGGAAAGCCAGATAGGCCAAAAATAATTTCGCGTATACAAAATTACTGTTAAGGTGCATAAATATATGTTACACGGATTTATACAATCACAATAGTTATAAAAATAATAAGTCATATCTCAAAGGCAAAGCTGCATCCTACATATCCTTCCTATAAACTTATTTATTTTTTATTCTCTATCATGAATTATAAGAATAACTGTCACGTGACCAAAGCTTACATACTTTTTATTAATTTTAGGATTAATGGAAATTAGTTAAGCAAAGATCAATTTTATTATTAAATTATAACTAATCATAAAAAACAAATTCATAAAAAATTACATCTTTACAATCGAAAACAGCTATATGTCTATTGTTTTCCTTGATTTTAATCAGATAAGTAGAGTGTATTATTTCGCTTTTGTGGTAGTCAAAATTAAAAAAAAATTTATTTATCAAATACAATGATTCCAACAAGAATTGATTGTACATAAATGATGTCATATTAAATGAACGAATTATTGTTTTAAATAATAGGAATTTTTGTCCCACGTAACTAGACAAAAGTACCTTTTTTGGGGGGCAATATGGTGAAAATGTTTGTTTCGTTCTGCATTACATGGCCAACAATTCGTTTATATATTAATACATATGTTACAGCAAACACAGAAGTACTTAGAATTCATGAATCACGTGTAACATAAGTAGTATATATAAGTATATGTATTGTATCCACGCGCATTCTTGAATACGTAATAAAAAAATATTTCCTACTTTAATATCGGATTCTTAAAGACCTATTAAAATTGAGTGTACTCTTATTTTCTCAGTTTCTGTTGTACTGAGTTCAATAACATTTGAGTCAGAAGTTTCAATTTTACCCGGGATCCTGAGACTCACACCTGGTTTTCTGTTTCAGATTACATTTTGCAGTATTTAATAAATCTGGTTAGCAACATATTATCATGAAAGCTATAGCATCTAAGTCTTTTTTTTGCAGATGTTCAAGACTTTGAGTGTATAAGGACGGTAAGATTTCAAGATGACCAATTTTTTCTTGTGTTTCAAAATTTTTAAAATTATTCTCAGCACTATGAATTACTGCATCTACTATGCCTTTGTAACAATAATTTCTTAATTTTTTTTTGTTCGTCGATAACTTACAATGATTATTATGATTCATAACATATGTATGTATAAAAAATTGTTTAGCTTCTCTACCGGCATATAATAAAGGACTAAAATTTTGTTACTTAAATCTGTATAAGATTTTGTATTAATATTATTGTAAAAAAGACATTGATTATTAAAGTCCTGTAAGTTTTGTGGGTATACACAAAGATTAAAATTTTCTGGTAAACCAGAATTGGAAACTATAATAACACCACACTCTGCTAATAAGTTGGCCCCAGTGACTAGGGCCAGTAGGCTGTCACCATAACCTGGAATTAAAAAAAAAAAAAAAATTACTGTTTTCAGGAATTATATTCCCAAAGTGTGTACATTTTACGCTGGTAGTTTGGCCTCGTTTCTGCCTCTGCCATCTCACAGTACAGCTGATACTGAAAAAGGTGGTCAAAAGTCAAAAATTAAAACAATATATTTTAGATCATCAGCTAAAGGGTTCTTTTGGTTACTTATTACAAATATAACGTCAAATTTACGAAAATTTACTCTCTGTATTTCTTACTGGCCACCTCCAGCATAAAACACAGTAAGTGCAAGTGACTAAATGTTCCAGTTCTATAGATTGAGAGCTTATGAACAGTCAGAGGCATGTTTGCATGTAATACTAGTCGTAAGGCTTTAGGAACTTATTAGCAGTAAATAAATCATACTGCTAAAACTTCTTAGTATTTATATCATAGCCTAATGATATAGCTTGTGATGTACCATGAAATCGGTGAACCAAATTTTTGTCAAGTACAGTTAGAGCTGCAGAAATTTACTGTTTTTAAAAAATTGTCGAGCAGTGTCACCATTATAAGAAGAGCCATACCCAAGTTTAGGCTTGTTACCAATCAGTCCTAAATTGCTTTTAAAATAGTCTTGGATATTTTTTTTCTTTGTCCTACTATTTTTCCTTTTACGCTATTTCGAGTTTGCCATTTTTGTTTACCAATTTTATAAGCTACGTGTAGTAAACATTTAAAGTATCGAATTTATGCATGTAATGATGACATACTAAAATTCAAGAATTGATCAGTAACAGGCTTGCTCATTATTAAATTAAAATTATTAATATCTTTAGACGTTGCTCGGCACAAATGGCAACGGTAAGCAGAAGATGTACTTGTAAGACCATTATACACTCAGCCGTCAATCATATAAAATACATGTTTTCCACTAACAAATTGCAATGAAACAATTGAAATAAAAAATACATTTTCGTCTGATATGCTACTATCACTGAATTGTTTATCCGTAGCATGCCTGGAAGTCCTATCATAACCACTTTTCATTAATTTTTCGATTATTAAATATCTTCTAATACAGTTATATGAAGATTTTCTCTAACTGAATCATAAATGTTTCTGATGGTCAATCCATTTTGTGAAGTATTACCTGCAAAAAGAATAAACTATTTAATTTAGAACCTTTCCGTATACTTAATAGTTTTGTTTAATAATAAGTTCTTTATTAATTATCCATTAAACTAATCATTCAAGAACTATTGTTAGTTACAATACCGTTAGAATTATCTAATACTGAAATCATTATTGTTGATTTCACACAAAAGTATTATGCAAGCGATCTTAGATATTTAAAATATTTATCTACGTGCATTCGTCAATAATATAGTATTTACAAAAATTTTTTTTTGATTAATTTTTGTAATAGAACAAATTAAAATTACCCACCATTCTCATTAACCTGTCACTTTATAGTTCTCTGACTACTGAGGTTATAAGCTTTTTATCTTTATCGATATATTTGTACGCAGTGGTACTTTGAAACACACAACAGGTGTGTGTAAGAGTAAGTGTGTTCGTCTAAAGATACGTGTATCTGGCTGAGGTCCAGTTGCATCCCATTAGATAACGCTAATGACCTGTATAGTAATAAAAATTTTTCCCAGGCTCTAGACTGGCAGTATAATGATATGTATATATTACATGTAAACACTGGTGTGTTTAGAAAAAAATGTATGTTTCTTAGATAAAAATAATTTATTAAGATAAACATATTTTAATATTGAATAGTATTAATCCTTTACGGGAAAAAAATTTCTTAGATACTTCCTGAAAGTAATAAAAGATTAAAAGTGAGACATTGTCGTATTTAAATATATTATTAGGTATAGTAATAAAGTATTTAGAAAATCTGGTGATGTATTCGCTTCGCTCAGCAAGACAAGACTGATGAATCACTGAAAATTTGATTTTTGTACAGTAAGATAGAAACTGACAGATTGACTGGACAGGGAATATAGAATTGTATTACTTTATTTTTCACCGTCAAGAAACTACGGAAATCAAGTTACATAATTTTTTTTTACTTCAATTAAAAGAAAAGTGCAAGTTAGAGCAGCAATTTTTTTTTTCTTTTTTAGAATTATTCAAAAGACAGTAAAGAACAAATTCAAATAAGTTTCATATCAAAACAATGAAGAACAATATAACATTATAACATGTTGCAATCGAACAATTTCAAATAATAAAATAAATGACAATGGTCGTTTCACTACTTTACTGCACTTCTAAACTCATTATTTAACATATTTTTTTCTTATTCTACTTACCTTGAGATATTTCATCGAATTAAAATTATTTTTGTTTAGTCCCTGGATACACCGAATTACAACGCTTTTTTGAATAGTGCCGGAAGTTCACTGACATGATTTGAACGGCGTCACCAAGATTTTAGGCTCCGGTTTCCGACTGACTATCCGTGTCTCGAGCTCAAGCTCCCTTTCCGTAAGCACTAAACTGCTGTCTACAGAGCGCGTAGAATCCATTGCTCGTGCTCCATTCTTCTTGGTAGATATTTGATACTTTGTAGTAATAAATCCTTCAAAAATGTAAAAGATGACATCCGCAGCAAAGTACACGTTCTGTTTTCAGTAAGAATCATTTCTCACTAGATATCTGGCAAAGTTGTAACTATAGTTTTTAAGTGGTTTAGTTGTTATCGTTAGCTGAAGAAACTAGTTTTGTTTATTAAATACATGGAAAAACAAGGGTTCAGAGCGGTGATTAAATATCTCTATTTTAAATCGGAAAAATGTAGAGATAGCGAAATCACCTTGAAAGGTTATAACTACTGCTACTGTGATGCACGTTGTACTAACTTTATTAACTATCAAGAAAAGAGACAGACGGTCACTGGACAATATTATGCATTATCATTAGGATAGTGGAAGTAAATAATAAGAGAAAGTTACTCTTATTTAGAAAGTTTTCTTTTTTCGGAATAATGCACGAGTGCATACGTGTCCAGTTTTTATGGTTAAAATTGAGGAACTGTAGTTTAAATTGATAGGTTATCCATTGTATTCGCTAGATCCAGCCCTAAGTGTCTTTTTCTTACTTAAAAATTAAAAAAAAAGCTCAATAAAAAACGGTTGACATCAAATGAAAAAATTATCATTAACACAAATGCTTATTTTTATGAATAACCGCAGTCACATTTTCTGTAAGCCTGAAAAAGTTGAAGGAACGTCTTTCAAGTGTATTGAAGAAGAAAGAGATAGTGTTAAAAAATGAGAAAAACTTATTTAAAAAAAAATAGTTTTTCTATTATTTTCTAAGAATTCGTTATACCACTCTCGTACATAGTGTATTCTGTAAAAAAATGTTATCTCTTGTATTGTTATACTGTCAATAAGTAACAAAGCCTCTCAATATCAAGGTTATGTGAGGTGAAGTTTGGTATTTAATAATTTTGCAGCTCCACGAGACGAAGAATAAAATTTCAATATCAACTTTTACCACCACAAGCTATATTTTTTTATTTCAAACTTGAAGAAAAATAATGATTTTTCCATGACGCAAAGAAAAACTGAGGAAATGGTATGAGTACGTCAAAGTATTAAGTAAAAGCAATATCAAGAGACTTTCAAGTAACAAATTTTTGAACACTGTCTTTAACTTCTTTCAACTGACTTTCTTGTCAAATACAGTATTACTTTAAGATGATAAAGATACCTTACACATAGTCTGATACTCTAAGGCTTAAAGTAATTCTTAGTCATCATACATTCAACCTGATAACTCAATAAAGATGCAAAGATACTTGCCTGTTTGGCGATGGATTTGTTATCCTCTTTACGGTACACCTTTCTTATTCTTGCAAGAGTCATTTGTGACATTGCTTTGGAGTTTAATCCAAAAACTATTCTTTCTTCTGCTACCAATGAAGACAGAGGATTCATACCTGTATAATGAAAAATCACATGAATCGTCTTATGTCACAACAGTAACGGAGAAACATACTTAATGCATAAAACATACGTCATACTATCAATTCATAAGAAATAAGTTGAAAATATAACACAATACGTAATTAATCGTCTTGTATGAAAACGGTAATGAAGGAACATACTGATTATAATATTGTCAATTCATAAAAAATAAGTAAAAAATATAACACAATACATACGCAGTTAATTACTGAGAATTTCATAATGTTACAACATGCAGAAAGCATGTATTGTTACAAAATGTAAAAGTAATAGTAATACGACAGTAGTGCTTACAAAAGTATTCATAGAGGACCTTCAAGTTTTTTTCATAATATTTACTAAATAAAACTCCATAATGCTAAATGAATTCATTTGCTAATCATGCAAAATCATTCATATTACATGAGTATTCAGACTCTGAAAAAATGATAAAATTAAATCCCTCCATTTGTGAGTGTACTTTCGACGAGACATGTATTTTTAAAGAACCTGAATAAAAATATAAATAACAGATAAAAATAACAGATTAACAATCCATTGCGATGGTTAGCATGATGATCGTAAATTTTTATATACCATTGATGATTAAATCTTCTTAAATACGTAGCTTTTCACAGTTACCCATATCTATTCAAACTAACTAAACGTAGCGAAATTTTTGTATTTTCCAAACTACAAAGGTTTTTACTTTATCCTACATTAGTTTACCCTTTTACATTTTTTATATACACTACGTCAGCCAACACTTCATTTCAGAACCTAAATAAAATTACTATAAGGTTATTCTGTGTCCTTTGTATTTCTTAGGATATAGTAATTCAAATATCGATAGCTTGAAAATGAGGTAAAAATATAAGTACGTATTGCCTATTTTCAGAAAAACCGTATTTATGAGACGGTTCGTAGGCGTTATGTGAAATATATTATAACTTTTTTTAAGAACCTGTACAATATAATAGATTAACTTGCAGTTAAACCACAACATACCAACAAAATGATTCACCAATGTAGTAGGTGAAGAAGATACAATACTGTCTGTATTTATACTGGTCTCTCACATCGTAATTTGTTTAGAAAATATTTCGATTTATCTTCAAATTACTTCCACTAAATTTCATAATAAAAACATAAGCTTATAGTAGATAACTTAAGTAAACAATAAGAACATAAACTAGAAGAAACTTAAAAAATACGTACGACAGGAAATTTTTTCAAGTTCAGCAAAAAAAGACAAAATAATCACCGAAAACAATAAGAATGTAAAATAATTACATGAGAAAAATAAATAGAACTAAAAAAAGACATTATACAACAAAACCTGAGTTTAATCTTGTAGCTCTGTTACATAAAAACCAAAAGATCGCTATGCCGTTATAAAAGGGTACAGTGGCCCCTTAAAAAATACCTTTTGACAAATGTAGAAGTCTAGGTAAGTTTGATGTATTAGAGTCACCTATGTATGTATGTGTCGATTATGACAAAAATCCTATTTTCAGTCATTTAATCCATACCTGTGTATAAAACAACAATAAAATTTGACCGTACACTGTTAATGGATCGATTTTTATTCATTCTGGCAAATAAGAAATAGTAAGTTTTTTTTTGTTTACTTTTTTTTGTTGTTGAAAATTTGATGCTTAGTTGTTCAGTATTTATTTTTGATATTACATACAAAAAGAAAAGAAAAAAAGAAACAAAAAACTAAAAAAAAACAAAAAAAAACATGTTGAATTATAAAACTTGGGCTTACAAAGTAATAAAATAAATTAAATAATGCCAAGTTTTTTATTATTTCCCCAAGAAAAAAACATAATATTTTATTTTTAACGATTTCACTTTTCCATTACTTAATTCACGATTTTATAAATATTCTTTAAAAATTTTACATTATGCAAAAAAAATAAACTTGGAGTCATAATATATTTGTACTTAGATGGAAAACGAAAGTAACTGGGCAGTAAATTATCAAAATAATATTGAACAATTTATACTAAAACCACAGCTGGACATGTAGTAAACTCAGCGGTATTCAGTAACTTTACTATATACTTATTACATAACTTGCCAGGCTCTGTTTTTCAGTTTTTTGGAGAATAACTTATACATGCATAAGTTGTCGTAGCTACCTTTGTGGTTAATATTCCAGTTTATGAATCTAATGTTTGTAAGAATGATATTGTGGATTATAAATACTATAAGCATATAAAATAATTGTGATTAAACTTTCCATTGCTTTATATTGTTGCTGATTACTTTCTACATATACGTTGTTCATGATAACGCGTTTAAATAATGTAAATAGAGACTTTAAGGCTGCTGCTGCTGATTGCGAGAGGATACGGTCGAATTCACAACATTAATTAACGTCACGGCCATGAAATAGCCATTACACTTACAAGTACATTTACCTATAGCAAGTATAACTTCGGTTATCCTGGCCGTCCTCGCTCGCAGACTTCAGCAGTTAGGCTTTGTCTTTTGAGCAGATCACTTGCTAAGCAAAGACTTATTGCGTCGTTGACTACCTTTTGCGACTTCTAACGTCGAATAGATCGAGTCATACATTGCTCAAACATCGTTCAATTCTTTTACTGTCCTTTTACACTCTAATATTTGTCGTTAATTCTCCTTTTTTAAACAAGCAAGCAAGCAGGCACATATATTTTGTCACATTTTAATCTTATTGTTGTCTTTACTTGTTAATGAACTAGTTTCAATTGTGTTAAAGTTAAAAGAAACGAGTGCAATCTTTATTTAATCCTCGAATACCTTGTAAGATTTTGTAAGGCCTTTGTTTTTTATCCGGCGGCACAAGCGCCTATATCGCAATACGTGGTTAGCTATTAATTTTAGAAAAAATTAATAGTTGGCATCGACACAAAATTAAACATAGGTCTTTATCAAAGTCGTACTGTCTACTGATTTATCCATCTATATATGTATCTACTTATATACCTACGTCCTCGCGGCGGAATAGACAGAATCATTGTATCAATCGTTTGTAACCTACTTTTGAGGTAGCAAAACATTATTTTTCTCTTAAAAAAGAAACAACACTTTATAATATATGTGTGAAGATCAACAACCAGGTATCAAATATGACTATTTCGATTTGTAAGTATGTTGTTAACAGATTTTTCCTGAAGTCAAGTCAAATACTTTGAATTAAAAACATAACTGTACAATATGTTACAAAAAAATTTTCAAAGGTATGCTATTATCAAAGAGTTAAGTAAAAAAAAGGTAATTAATACTTACATAATTCATGTATAAGATCAAGTGAAAAAATCACGTTTATGTACTTAATGGTTTTTAGTCACTTATGTCACAAAAAAATCCAGACGGAACTAATTACTAAATAACTGAGCCTAGCAAGTAATTCAACAAGTATGTAGTAAAGTTACTGCATACCCCTTATTGCACTACATCACCAGCTGTGGTTGTAGTATGAATCATTCAATATTATTTTAATAATTTACTGCCCAGTTACATTAGTTTTCCATCTCAGCACAAATATATCATGACTCCAAGTTTAGTCTTTTTGCATAATGTAAATTTTTTTAAAAATATTTATAAGATCGTAAATCAATTATTGGAAAACTTAAATCATTTTAAATAGAATATTATGTATTTTTCTTGGGGAAATAATAGAAAATTTAGCATTAATTAATTGATTTTATTACTTTGTAAGCCTAAAGTTTCATAATTTCACATGTTTTTTTGTTTTTGTTTTTTGTTTCTTTTTTTTTCTTCTAATGCGTAATATCAAAAATTAATACTGAACAACTAAGCATCAAATTTTCAACAAAAAAAAAAAAACGCACTATTTCTCATTTGCCAGAATGAATAAAAACCGATCCATAAACAGTGTACGGTCAAATTTTATACACAAGTACGAATTAAATGACTGAACGACACGAAATTACCTACACTTATTTTTTTTGTAACGTAATTATTAGAGTGTAAAAAAATGTGTTATTAAATTAAAAAAAATAATTTACATGGGTGACTTTCATACGTCAAACTTGCCTAGACTTTTACATTTGTCAAAAGGTATTTTTTGTAGGGAAATCACAACTATTCTGGAGAAGAAGTTACTTGAGCAATGTGTTATAAATATTTTAGTGAAAATTTCATAGAAATATATACTATTGTCTTGGAAACAATTTATTTACTTGTAGAGCCGAAGATTGATCTAAAAAAATGATCTATATTCACAATCAGTGTTAGAACACCTTATCACTTTGGTTAGGTCATGTTTCAACAAATTTTGCAATTTAAGTGATTTGTTACATAATTCTCTTAAAAAATCTGCAACATTTTGTTAGGTTTTTGACATAAACTGTTTGCCGGCAAACAGCTTTAATGATAAAACGTCGAAACTATTGTTCGGCGAATTTTGTGTTAAAACAGTTTTAACAATATCGATATGACTATGTTCAGAAATAATTCTTCGCACTGTTGAAGAATCAAATAAGCTCTGCAAGCTAACATTAACGTAACAGGAAACAAAATCAGTGTTAGGTAAGCCAGTAATACTCTAAGTATTGTCTGACATATGAATTATATGACTTTCTGTATCAGCTATTAATGTTTTTTTTTCTACAGCCCATTTGTTCTCATAAACTTTAAGGTTTTAAATTCGTTAACGATCTGGAGGAATGGCAAAATGATCAAGGTCGAGACCATGTTTTGTTCGCAATCTATTATATTCAAGAATAGCTGATATATTTGCAGTACAACATGAAGGATCAAAATTGATGGAATGTAATCCACTTAGTGTAGTAACACAGTAACACGTGATGTCGCTACGTATGTTTGGCCATCACTAAATATACTGTTACCTGCTTCGACTACAGCGTAAGATTAAGCCTTTACTCTTATGTATAGTTATACTGTAACAGTTACAAATCGAGAAATGTTGTCGTGTTATGGATATTTTATCCATAACAATAAATTTATACTTCATCCG